ACACACACACACACACACACACACACACACACACACACACACACACAAGCATAAATGTTGGTGGTGGTCTCATTCAGCCCCTGTTCACTCACACACACCTCCCTAACCCAAACTCTCCCTCCTCTGAGTCTTAAGTATGGTTATTTTCCTCCTCTGGTTTCAGAGGGTGACACCCCCCCCACCCCCCGACATGTGAAGGGGGACCTGCCTGCGTCAGTCAGAACACAGACATGCAGGAGTACAGCATGTCACTTTGTGTCAGACAGAAACAGTTGGAAGATTTAAATAAACATTTCCGCACACTGCCAGCGTCGTGTTGGAGGTGAAGATGGAGGTCACTGCAGGGACAGACAACGATCTTCTCAAGCTTGCAGCTTGTATTTGTCTTTGGCATCATTAGTAACATTTGAACACACCAGGTCTTACTGATCTTTTCAGCTTCTTTCTCAAGACCTGACAGATGTTTATCACATGCTGTGGTCAGTGAACGCACCATTAGTCACTATCGCCCACCACCAACAGGCGAAGGTGGACAAGTGCAGGTGCTTGTTACCACAGGAACCAATGGACAGCTTTAATTAAACTTTACTGGATGTGAATGTTCAACTGATAAAACGTTTGGACTCAATCCAATTCAAGATGGCCACCACAGCTAATCAACTTTATTCAACACAAAGCTGGCTTCGATGTAACAGATGTTGATGTAACATCTGCCGTCCTCTGAGGAATGCCAGGTCTTTAGGTTCTCCAGTTTTTGCCCCACTTCCTCATTGTTTCCTGTGGATGCCCACTGAACAACGTGCAGCGGGAGAGGGAAGGTTTCTAATCTTTATTCTGAGTGTGCAGAGCGTCACGTTACAGAGGAGCCGTTCAGACAGACCCACTCTGTCCTTACTCCTCCAGTGTGTACATACAGTTCATCCACACCCACAGGAGCATGGAGCTCCTCCTCTTGTTCTTTGCTTGGACGGCGGAACGTTTTGGAGCCGCCACTGTTGATTGGGTTTGTTCTGCCAGTCTGCGCTGCTCTCAGTGTGTCTGACATCACAGCGCACACTTCTTTGGTCCCTGAATACTTTCAGACCCAAAGCCTCCATGTTTTAGGTAATCGTGAGCTTCTAGCTCTGAAAAATGAGAAGGACTGTTGTTCTGATAAACATGGAGTGAGAAGGAAATACAGTTTTCACTTTCCGTTGAACCAAACCTCTGAGAACTTAGAGCAGAAGGAGTCTTTTGAGTGAATGCCAAAACATCTGGCTTTCAGAGTTTTTCTGTGCAGCCCTGTAGAGACAGAGACCCCTCAGTCTGGATCAGAGGAGTCTCCTTCAGCTGACTACACCCTGATGCTGGCTCACCTCCAGCTCCACTGGTTCCACTGACACTGGTTCCACTAACACTGGTTCCACTAGCACTGGTTCCACTAACACTGGTTCCACTAACACTGGCTCCACTAACCCTGGTTCCACTAACCCTGGTTCCACTAACACTGGTTCCACTAACACTGGTTCCACTAACACTGGTTCCACTAACCCTGGTTCCACTAACACTGGTTCCACTAACCCTGGTTCCACTAACACTGGTTCCACCAACCCTGGTTCCACCAACCCTGGTTCCACTAACACTGGTTCCACTAACACTGGTTCCACTAACACTGGTTCCACCAACCCTGGTTCCACCAACCCTGGTTCCAGTAACACTGGTTCCACTAACACTGGTTCCACTAACCCTGGTTCCACTAACCCTGGTTCCACTAACACTGGTTCCACTAACCCTGGTTCCACTAACCCT